CAATTCTATTTCACTGTGTGTAATGGAAAATGGTGCAATAGTCATACTTGGCTCAGGAAAGTCGGGTGTGTACGTGTTTGTGGAAGGCTCACTATACACTGACGAAAAGTGTTTCACAAATAGATTGGCTATGTCGCAACCGTTGTCAGCAAAAGCACAACCATAAGACATTTGTTTTGTAGGTCATTTGTGCTTTTCTTAGATTTAGCATAGCTCCAAAACAACTTAATGTTATCTTTCAAGCCACCGTCAAGTATTAGTTATATACCTAATTTTTAAAACAATTACCGTAAGTTGCTTTAGCCCTAGATCAAAATCCCGCGGATTACCAAATCTGTTGAATTTTTTATGGTATTTTTCTTTTTCCTTTAAAATCTTGAGCAATGAGCGCGAAAACCATGGGGGATATGACTTCTTTGTTTTCGTTTTTGGGGGGTTTGCCTTTCAATGCAATTCCACAAGTGTTGTAGAGCACCTGCAAAAATTCATCCCAATTTAAATCGGCATCCACTCCAATCTATCACAGATAGATCCGCGATGCAGTGTGCAATATCTGCCTTTTTAAATGCATAACTTGTTTCGTCTCTGCTTCAGTACAGGTGTATTGTCAATTTTTACAGTAATGTCTAATGATGGATGATGATCATCAAGCCGACTCAGTGCCTGTGACTGTCAAAATTCCGTATAGCCTGTGACTGACTTTACAGTGGGTGTTCGGCTGGCTCAATATGAGATCTAGAGTCCTATCATTAAAGTTCTTGATGGAGTTATATTTAGATTCGTTCTCAGAAGAAAATGCCTCAAATACGAGGTTTTGGCATTTGCAGCATCAACAGAGAGAAGATCCGACCAATCAACAGCAGGGATATTAGTCTCCTACAATTAATGTCCCGCCGCTACTAGAAAATAGTACCCCGTTTTCACAACTGTCAAGAAGCACCCGAAAATCATCAACAGATAAATATTACGGCAAATAGACAGTACAAAGATTAAAAAGAACATTCTTAAAGCTAATGCTAATCCATATATCCTCGACTACAGACCGCCACTGTGATCTTTCAAAACGTAAAAAACTTGTTTCATTGCTATAAGTACCCCTCCACCGCGCGGTTTATAATACTTCTTCATAAAATTTTGTGATCTATCTCTACGGTAAATAGTATAACTTTGATCGAATAATTCTGATGAAGCTATAGAGTCGTCAAGCCAAGTTTCACACATGCACATTACGTCATAGTTACTTATCATTATAGAATTCATTACATCGATTGTTTTCGTTTTTAATCCTTTTATATTTCGAAAATAAATTGATAATTCATCCATTTAAAATAAAATAACAACATGCATAAAATATTATTCATGAAAAGAGACAAAATAGCTAGGTAAAATAACATTATGTCAAGGCTTTAAATGTATTCTCATTTTTGACATAAATTAAAGGAGAAGTTTCATTTTGACGCATAAAAATTCGCCCATTTTGTACCCACACAAAGGAGATTTTGCTCAGCTTCCATACTTGTTTGGCCTAAAGACCAATAATCATGAAAAATTGTTTCCTAGATTCAAAACTATATATAAATTACTGTAGAAACGAATATTATTGACGGACACCCCTGAGAACTTCTATAAATCATATACACTGAACGATTTTGAGGTTATTTTGCAAATAGGTACATAGGTATTAAAATAATAAAAAAACAAATAAGTTATATAGTAAACTAGGGAAATCAAGCCAAGTACCGAAATTATGTATTAGATTCAGGTATTTAGAGTATGAAGATTAACAGGTAGTTGCCTGTTTTTAAAGTTAATGCACAAGAGTAACTTTTAAAATCAGGTATCATCTATGCATTTCCGGTTATAATAAGGTACTCTGTGACAGAAACTGTATGATGGATGATTGTGAATGAGCCACAAATTAGAGAACTCTCGTTAACCAAAGAAAGCTAAGATATTTAGGTTATGCAGCCATATCTTCAGTAGCTTCATTATTTTTGTAATGTTTATATTATAACCATAATTATAATATACACATAACAAAATCAAAGTTTATATTATAAAAATGATTCGTATGTTTTCCAAACCGGTAAAATCAAAAGTCCTTTTTAAAATGAATATATTATACAAAGGTGTCCGTTAAAGGACATCGACGAAATCGACCCTAGCATGCCCAAAAGAATGTCCTTCACTATTATTTTTCTTTTATTTTTTTAACTTATTAGCAATTAATCATAGTAAACGGACAATCTGTTTAAATAAAATAAAAGTTCTGTTACTAGATACTACAGTCTGTTCATCAACTTGTCCTATTTGGTAAACAATCTTGGCACTCCTTTTTATTGAAAATACAGCATTAAAAATCAACTGATAACTGGATTCAATACATTTCAGTCTACAATAACGATTTATTTTAATAGTTTATTGCCTTCGTTAATATTTTATTATTAAATGGGTGATTCTGTTAAAAAGTTGTGCCAAGATTGTTTATCTTAATAAATGCAATATAGGCGACCATAGGTATTTATCAACATAAAAATAGAACTAGGTACCTTAGTTAATAATACTTATTACTAGTATTTATATTTTATTTATAAAAATATTATTTCTGGAATTATGTAAAGATAGTTTATACTCCCTTCCCATGTAATATCTGTTTATTTTTATGAAAATCATAATGATGACCAGGTACGTACCTAATTACCGATAGTAAAATATAGAAACAGGTAAATGGAAAGACTTTGAATATTTCATTTGAAAAGAAATCTATTATTACTACAGATAGGTATAGGTATCATAGGTGCCAACTGCCAACACTCATATATCAATATGAATATAAGCATTTATTATTTTTATTATTAATTGCATTTTATGTTCATTTAATGCATATTATTTGAGTGCTTACATAGAGGTAAACACTAAATCTATTCAGAATATATAAAGTGTATATCTTTTACGATTACGTATAATAATTATAACCTCAAAATCTAATACATTCTGTAGTAGGCCACGGTTCCTCAAGTTGTCCGTATCTCAACAAATGCCTAATTAGAGTTTATGAATGATTCCGAACACAACTAGCATTTTCTCATTGCTGGGCGTTCTAGGGCATTCAATGTATGGGGAACGAGCAATGTCCTTTAATGACTGTAAAATAAAGTATAAATTACGCAAAGAATTTCCGTGTATGTCTTTATTTTTTGTACATTTGGGCCAATTTGATCAATCTCCTTTGTAAGACAAATCCTTAGCCTTGGCCCTGGTGACAGCATGAAGAGACATGTTAGCTGGGGAGAGATGCTCCAATACGTAGACTGGGACGTTGTTGCCGGCTATTCCCAATAGAGAGGAGCAGAGTTGCTCGTTAGGATGAGACTTGTTATAGCGTGTTACTGCTCTCTCTATTAATACTGGCTACTCTTGTACTGTTTAATATGTCAGCGTTATCTATCTCTAAAGAAACCACTTCTGCTATTTTCTTTACAATATCAACGAAATTTTTATTCTTGTGCTGTGGTACTCCCCGAGTGTCGATGTTGTTATCTCGTCGCTGCTGCTCCATTATGTTCAAGCGCTCTGACAAAGTTGCTACTGTAGATTCCAGATTGCTGCATATAGTTTGCAGGTTATTATAATCCTTAGCACAGGCGTTAGTGTTTTTGATAATATCGTCTTACTGCTTACTGACGAAATCAACTCACTCTCCTCCAGTGTATCCAACTGATTTTTAATTGGTGCTAATTCGGAGCGTATTATGCTTTGTATCTATTAGTCTTTGGAGATTGCCCCCCCCCCCCCCCCCCGCCTCAACCTCTTGCTGTGGAAGTTTTTCAGAAATAGTCACGTCTTGCTTAATCTTGCACTCAGGGCATTTCCAAAGACTCCTCGTCCTGGTTGATAGTTTACCGTAATTATCCTCGGTAATGTTCACACAGCCAAAATGGTAGGCCCGAACAAATAATCTCGATGACTACATGATGACAGCCGTTGCATACAGTCATGATTTCTGCCGTTGACGTACGAGTCCGTTCGGATTTCCGCCAATAGGGATTCTTTTTATAATGTGGCAACACTTCCTACTTCTCAATGTCAAAACAGGTGCTGTCAGTTGATTTTGACGGCTGTCAAAATAAAAATTGACGTTGTCAGATGATTTGGATTTATAAACTAATTGAGGGTACTTAACTCAAGTAAATGTTTAGTTCGAATTAGTGGGTATAAAGTAATAACTTTAAACTTGGTATTTAAGATATCCACGGACGGAGTTAAACACTGCTTTCAATCACACTTATGTCGAAGGCAGTAATTTACACATTGAAGTTACTTTAGATGACTTTTAAACTTGTTAATAGAATTTAGAATAAAAAGGATCGAGACCTATGTTTACACTTTGGCAGTGTTGCCAGATTCATAGTTTCGGTTTATTGAATGAAAAATGGCATTTCAGTGATATGATCCAATAGCGGTGTAACTTGTATAATCGTTTATTAATAGGCAGGATTACGTATATCTCAAACAGTTCAAATAAATCGAAACAATGACTTCGTAACCTTTGGTTTGTATTCAGTGTAGTTCTAATAAACTTGTCTCAACGAATTTTTCGGTACTTATAAAGGGTATGTGCTTATGTTGCAGGACCGATAGTTGAACTTACTAATATTCATAATATGGATTGTGTCCAGATAGGTATTATAGTATAGGACTTCAATACATTTTATTTTTTAATAAATACTATCGACAGTATCTGAGCTATCACTATACCGATTTCATCATTATTCAAAATCGAGCCAAAAAACGACAAAAATCACATTTGTTGTTATAACGGTTACAGAAATACATCATCTCTGAAAATTTCAACTGTCTAGTTATCACGGCTCATAAGATACAGCTTAATGACAGACAGACACACAGATGGACAATATGGAGTCTTAGTAATCGGGTCTCGCTTTTACCCTTTGGTTACGGGACCCTAAAAAGGAACTGAATAGAAATGAAACAAATTATTTCCTCGTCATAAATATTATTTCAACATTCCGTATAGCCTAAATTAATGTACAATAAGAGGCAGGCGGCCGCAACGACGAATATCAATTAAAATAATATTTACAGAGAAGTTTTATTCTAAACACCAGCCCGTTCAAACGTGGTCCAATCTCTCTCCGGAGCGTGAGTGAATATTATTATTTTCCCATCAAACTCGTGTCTTCTTACATTCTCAAGAATCGTGACAAATGACGAACATAATTCTTAGTAATTTTTAATAGATACCTATTTCGTCAAACACTAATAAGTACACTGCGTGTAACTGTATTGATATGTAATCGTAATTAATCACGATTTGTCCTAAATATCACGCTCCGGATCGCGAAATATCATCAATACCACGCTCCGGATCGCGAAATATCATCAATATCACGTCTATGCGTCTTTAACGATAACGTAAGCAGTAACGAAACGACTACTACGGATGTTTAAACGGGCTGGAAGTATATGAATTGCACATTGTTAGAATCAGCCTCCACAACATGCAAACCACACATACAAATAATCATTATAATTAATGTCCCTTACTCCACAACTTGATTAATTTGCATTAAAATAACAAACCTATGACAAACAAACCGTCACAATAATGGTGAGAAAATGGTCTATAATAAAATAATAATATAATCAATATGTAACACGAAATCCCTAACAATATTTAAATTGATATAAAAATATCAATAATTCAACAAAAGTAAAATTGGATTATAATAATTCACTAAACATTGCGATTGAGTTAATGGCAGTTAGAAGACTCATTACTCTGTAGAGAAGAGACAGCCAAACCAAATCACCAAGATATGGAGTAAGCAAAAACGTAATTTAATATAAAACGGTACGACAACGTCTATCTAATAATATTTAGTTATTCTCAAAACATACTCCCTTCGCAAAGGATATGAAATTCATCACTAACTATAAAAAAATTACTCCGATCTCGTGTGAGAAGTGAAATTTAGAAATCATACGGTGCGTGAGCAATAAACATAGTAGATAAAAAAAACTTAAAATAGAACACCAGACCTCGAACGAAAAAAAAACGGTTCCAACTTTTTTTCATTTTAATTTTTTTCTCAATTTCTTTGGTTCGGCACCTAGCCTAAGCTAACACTAGACTCGTGATCTAACAACGCTAGCGTTTAATCTAAACCGTGGTTATAATACTAATTAATGTACAGCCAACTGTTTTTTTTTTGGTCGGAACCGAGATTGTCGGGATAAAAACGCACTGAGGAAAACGAAAATCTCACTGCGTTTTAACACAAAATAGATAGTACAGAAGGCAATCTTATATATGTACTTTAATTATCATACCTACACTCGGCAGTCGCTATCTTGTAACCAGATGTTTGATTTATTGTTGTCAATGAAACAGGAAGAATGGAAATATAAAGCAATAATAACTGAAACTATTATAATGTTATTGTTATATGAGAAATTAAATAACAAATATTCACCGCTAATGTTGCATTTAAACAACCATCCACCGTGGACAGTTATAATAACAATTGTTGTCTAAAGCGGATGAAACTCGCGCTCGCTCTGATCCGTAGCGATTCTAGACGCCGTGTCCGTGAGCGTTGTCTTAATTATAGGCATTAAAATATAATATGAGAAATACAAAATAGTTAAAATTTGTCCTGTGATAATATAAGGATCTTCTACAGGTCGAGCCCCAATTCAAGTAAGTAAAATAATAAATTGTTACTATACATTAAAATAATAGTTGATTGATAGGATCAAAATTGGTTGTGCGTTGCTCGAGCGCACCTTGTATGTAGATTGCCTTCTGCGTTATCTATTTTTGGTGTTAACGTGTTCGTAGGTGTAGTTGGTTCAGAGGCGGCGAGATGTTTGATGATTCTGGTAGCATCGATGTGGTTGTGGTGAGGGCCGGGTTCATATGGCGAGTGCAGCGGAACGCTTGTCGCGGCTCTTGTTTCGTGCGACTGTACGCGCCTTCGACGCGGCGCTGTTCTTTAAATGCTGCAAAACGGAATAAAAATCATCATCATCAGTCTATTAATGTCCCCACTGCAGGGGCACATGCCTTCTCTATGGATGGAATAGGGAGATTAGGCCATGACCCATCATGCGGGCCCAGTGCGGATTGGCGGGTGTTAACGACTGCAGATGTAGCCAAAATACGAACGAAAATACAAAATGTGTACGTGCGATCTAAGGGGACTAAGGAAGGCGACTGGCTCAGTCGCTCGTGCTTTAAATGTTTAGTTGACAATACTGTGTCCCTTCTCTCTGTAACAAAGGCAGCTAAACTGGTACCGAACTCAACTTCAATACTAACGGAATACACACACAGACAAAACAAAATAATTTGCCTAATAAAATATATGCAAATGAATTTGGCTATCCATTTATTGGGTAAGATAATTAAATATCAACCAATCACCTAGTCGGCGTGTTGATCGCATTTTATTCGCCCCGCCCACTTGATGCAGTTTGCGTGGAACCACTTCTTTTGCGTAGCTGGTATTTTATGCCTAAATAGTAGGACACGGCATTTCAACATATATAGGGTGAAATTGAATGTTTTAATGAAACTTCGTGGGAATGTTGGGTTAAGTATATAGAGTATCTCTGATTTTTTAAAAATTATTTAAAATCTTTAAATTTAAAGTCTCAAGGCTATCCACCGCGCGTTAAATCAGTATTTTTTATTGCATAGTCATAATTTTTAAAATCATTTATATTTGTAATATTAATATATTTAATATAAAATGACTTCATGAGTTATATCATATTGAAGTCATTTGTCAATTTGACGACTCTGTATATTATACAGGGAGGAAAAAGCAGCCCTTGCTGAGTTTCTTGCCGGTTCTTCTCTGTACAAGGTCTCCCGCCGTAGTATTTGCGAACCGATGGCGTAGCTTTTCGACATTCACAAGAGCTTGTAACAGCCCAGACTGGATAAACGATATAGCTCTTTTTTAATATTATATAATTGCTATTTCGTTGACAATAAGAATAATTAGAAACCCGTTAGTTTAGCAGCTTAATGAATTAAGTATATTCTTCTTATTAAGAGTACATTTTTATGGTATAGATGGAGATTTTTACAGCGGCGCAGGGAGGGCGCGTGGGGCGCGACGGCGGGCAGGGCGCCGGCGAGGGGGCGCTGTACTCATGTACTCACCCGCTGCATCTTGTTGAGGCTGCGGACGGGCACGAGCGGGGCGGCGGTGAGGCGTAGGGAGGGCGCGTGGGGCGCGACGGCGGGCAGGGCGCCGGCGAGGGGGCGCTGTACTCATGTACTCACCCGCTGCATCTTGTTGAGGCTGCGGACGGGCACGAGCGGGGCGGCGGTGAGGCGCAGGGAGGGCGCGTGGGGCGCGAGGGCGGGCAGGGCGCCGGCGAGGGGGCGCTGTACTCATGTACTCACCCGCTGCATCTTGAGGCTGCGGACGGGCACGAGCGGGGCGGCGGTGAGGCGTAGGGAGGGCGCGTGGGGCGCGACGGCGGGCAGGGCGCCGGCGAGGGGGCGCTGTACTCATGTACTCACCCGCTGCATCTTGAGGCTGCGGACGGGCACGAGCGGGGCGGCGGTGAGGCGCAGGGAGGGCGCGTGGGGCGCGAGGGCGGGCAGGGCGCCGGCGAGGGGGCGCTGTACTCATGTACTCACCCGCTGCATCTTGTTGAGGCTGCGGACGGGCACGAGCGGGGCGGCGGTGAGGCGCAGGGCGCGGCGCAGGGAGGGCGCGTGGGGCGCGAGGGCGGGCAGGGCTCCGGCGAGGGCGGCGGTGAGGGCGCTGTAGGCGGCGCGTGTGCCCCACGTGTCGCACACCACGTGCTCGGCGCCCACGCGGACGGATAGCGATGGCACCTCGTTCTCCTGCAGCGGTACAACGTAACGATTTTACTAACGTCCTGGGGGCCAATCGCCTAACGGAAATGCTTTGGGAAACGCTAACGTTTACGATTTTATTTTGTTATTTCTAGCCACCTGAGGTTTTCAAATGCCTCGCGCTCTTTCTTTTTCTTTTGCATTGGTAATAACAATATTAAAAAAAATGAGCGTGAGGTATTCGAAAACCTCAGGCGGCTAGAAATAACAATATAAAATCGTAAGCGTTAGCGTTTCCCAAAGCATTTCCGTTAGGCGATTGGCCCCCTGTTCTTTGATAGACATTTAATAGAGTAGAAAGCCGCCATATTATGCACACATATTCGTAAATATGCCCACTTCGACAAAAATTCGATAATATAAGAGTTTACTGACCTCGAAGTATTTGAGAATGTCCCGGAAAGTGGCTCGCTGCAACTTGCGGTCCCTCTTAGCGCGGTACTTGTGTGAATCTTTCGTTAATTGAAGCAGCTGAGGTATGATTTCTGCCACATATTCTTCTTCTGGCCCGTCAGGATCGGCAGTGTGTTCGTGAGCGATCGCCAAAGCCCCACCGGCTGCCAAACGGACCTAGTAAAATAGTTGTGTCGTTTAAATAAGAGACTTCAATATAGACATTTAAGCATTTAAATTGATCCATAAACTATGAAGACATACGTGATTTGACAGATGAGCAAGCCTTTTGTTTCAGTGGCGCCACCTGGCGTCCTTCATTCCAGAAAAATCTTATTGACGAGTCCACGGAGATTAGAGAGGAGGCCGATCGCTGTAGAAAATAGTGTCCCAGAAGTGTGGACAAAATAAGTGAGACACTGCGATCGCTAAGTTGTCTCAATAAAAGCGGGCTGTTCTGCGCTAATTTGAAACCAATGCCGCGACGAAAAGTTGTACATTATTCAACCAACTTTATCTACTTGTATTCATAAACAGCTAACTTACGATAGCACGGATGTTCGGCCTGCTAAGTACAGTTACCTCGAGCCCGTGCGCGTCCAGCAGCGAGGCGAGGCGCGCGCAGGCCGGCGGCGCGCACTGCAGCAGCGAGCGCGCGTGCACAGCGGGCACCACGGTCAGCAGTAGCGCCCCCCGCCTCAGTGTTACCCTCGGTTACCTCGAGCCCGTGCGCGTCCAGCAGCGAGGCGAGGCGCGCGCAGGCCGGCGGCGCGCACTGCAGCAGCGAGCGCGCGTGCACAGCGGGCACCACGGTCAGCAGTAGCGCCCCCCGCCTCAGTGTTACCCTCGGTTACCTCGAGCCCGTGCGCGTCCAGCAGCGAGGCGAGGCGCGCGCAGGCCGGCGGCGCGCACTGCAGCAGCGAGCGCGCGTGCACAGCGGGCACCACGGTCAGCAGTAGCGCCCCCCGCCCCCCGCCTCAGTGTTACCCTCGGTTACCTCGAGCCCGTGCGCGTCCAGCAGCGAGGCGAGGCGCGCGCAGGCCGGCGGCGCGCACTGCAGCAGCGAGCGCGCGTGCACTTCGGGCACCATGGTCAGCAGTAGCGCCCACCCGTCTAACGCGCTCGCGTGCAAAGCGGCCTCTTCCACCACAGCGCCGGATACTTTAACGCTGCCGTCGCCCTACAAACGAAACGTTGGTTTATTTAACTCAGAGGTTCCCATACTTTTTTGTGTCGTAGACCCTTTGCATGTATTTTGGTTTTGGGTAGACCCTACTTACCGGATATTGATTTTATATAAATTCTTATCTGGAGGGAAGTTAGTGTAACAAGATGATACTGGTTTATCATTATATGCAGGTTTATACAACTTCAAAATGTATTGCGACCACAAAGCGAATATCTTACAACTTACAAAATTTTATAAACATACATATAATATTTTTTATTATTTCATAGGTACTTTTATAAATAAATGTCTTTTTAATAGAAGATAGCATAGTGTTTGTAAATAAGTGCTATCAGTGTATGTTGAGATCCATTATTGTGGACCCCCATTTTCAGTTCATGAACCCCCACTTTTTTGTTTTATCGCTGACGTAGACCCCTTGCAGGTCGTCATAGACCCCTAGGGATCTCTCTGATTTAATCACTTTGGGAATCACTGATTTAACCTATCAAATAACAAAATATACTTTGGAGTTGACCGAAATTAATGTTTACTCACTTTAGGATAGCTGCCACTGAAGATGGTTTCGTACATTTTCATGATTTCCAATATTTCAGTGATGTCTTCCTCCAACAGGTAGCACAGCACGGCCAGTGATGCGCAACACTACATAAAAACATAATCCAATTAGCATCGGGACGTTTATGATTAATTCGGTCTGAATAAGAAATGAGCACTCTGATTGCATGAATTAACCTTTTTTAATAAAACTTGTTTATTAATGTCAGCGCAATAAAAAAAAAATCGGGGTCACTGGGAGGAATGGATTAGAGATGCGGTCTTTAAAAATATCGATATCGAGGTACAGGCATATATATAGATATTTGACATATCGACCAATACGCGATGTTATCGATAATTTGGATATTTTTAGTACCCATTTTTATAATATATATATATAACTCTACAATAAGTATGCAAAGTTTTTGCAATGTCGATAGTCAGTTAAATATCGATATCCAATATATGGACCACCAACATTACCGTCCTTTGCGTCACTCAGTCGGTTAAAAATCGACAGCTCACACAACTCAAGCTCCCGCCAAAAAGACCTTACGGTTTAGATTTTAATGTTCGTTTAAAACTATTTTTTTTATAATATTTACAATGGAATGACAAACAAATCTTTTTTTCTCTCCTGCAACTTTTTTTCGTAGATAAAAGGTTAAGATTCTTAGCCGTCGATATTAGGCATTAATAGAGCATAATGTTACCTCAGTGCGCGTCTCTATGGAGGCGGAGCGGTCTACAGCAGCTGCGGCCAACGCCGGTCGCACTTCTTTCATATATGCTTCTGTACTCTCCTCTCCGATCTGTTTATTACAAATAAGTCATTTAGCAACACTTTTTCATACACAGCTTTTAAAAACCCTGTAAATAATCAAAGTTGTTTGCCAAATTGTCAAAGTGTTTGTCAAACAAAGTATGTGAAACAAGAACTTTGTCAAGCAAGTTTGCCAAACAATTTTGATTGTTCACAGGGCCTTTATGAAAATTCATAATGAGGATATGCAAAGCTGCTCAAGTGCATTTGTACCGATAAATTGTCATATCTAAATCTCAACATACTGGACATCTGCGGCAGTAAAGGATAGAAAAACAATAGCTGGGCAACGGATGGGTGACCAAAAACTTATTAATTCGAGCTCTGCAAGGTTCGCGTATATGTTCATGGCCCGTTCTTCGTATTCCATCCATATTATTATGTGCTTCAGCAGTGTCGCAGTGTGGACATTAATAGGTTGATAATGAAATTTGTAGCGCTAGCAGCGGGAATGGCGACGGCCGTTTGCCGCTTGGACTTGCGGCTGCATTGCACGGTGTGACGACACCTTGAAAACAGAACCCTTAGCACGAACCATTATCGAATTCGAACAGTTGAATTCGATCTAGACATACTTTAAAGTGTACTGATTTTTAATTCTCGTTACGTCCGTTGTGGCGCTGCTGTTCAAGTTTTCATATAAAATTAGTCATTTCGCACTGGCAAACGTAACCAATTTAATCTCGAATACACGTCAAAACTGTACTGGTTTGTAATTCTCGTTACCGCTCGTTGTAGAGCTGATTTTCATGTTTCCATATAATTTCTCTATGACTATTCACACTCGCAACGAATTCGACTTTGGTTGGAGCTAAGAGTGTTGTTGTCCATATGTTTCCACCATGGACGTTTTTCTATAGCGCCAGCACCGGCACTATCCCGGCGGCGGCCTTCCTCTCAACCTCGCGGCCGCGGCGGACGGTGCGCGACACCACCTCGGCGGTGGCTGTTCAGCAGCGCTGCCAAGTGTCTCCGCTGCAGCGCATTACGGAGTGACACTAACGGTGACTGTCGGGAAGTATATATACCTGCAGCGCCAGCACCGGCGCTATCCCGGCGCCGGCCTTCCTCTCAACCTCGCGGCCGCGGCGCACGGTGCGCGACACCACCTCTGCGAGCGTGACGCGGTGGCCGTACAGCAGCGCTCCCACGTGTCTCCGCTGCAGCGCATTACGGAGTGACACTAACGCTGTCTGTCGGGACGTATACGATATACCTGCAGCGCTAGCACCGGCGCTATCCTAGCGGCGGCCTTCCTCTCAACCTCGCGGCCGCGGCGCACGGTGCGCGACACCACCTCCGCGAGCGTGACGCGGTGGCCGTACAGCAGCGCTCCCACGTGTCTCCGCTGCAGCGCATTACGGAGTGACACTAACGCTGACTGTCTGGATGTATATATACCTGCAGCGCTAGCACCGGCGCTATCCCAGCGGCGGCCTTCCTCTCAACCTCGCGGCCGCGGCGCATGGTGCGCGACACCACCTCCGCGAGCGTGACGCGGTGGCCGTACAGCAGCGCTTCCACGTGTCTCCGCTGCAGCGCATTACGGAGTGACACTAACGCTGTCTGTCGGGACATATACGATACACCTGCAGCGCTAGCACCGGCGCTATCCTAGCGGCGGCCTTCCTCTCAACCTCGCGGCCGCGGCGCACGGTGCGCGACACCACCTCCGCGAGCGTGACGCGGTGGCCGTACAGCAGCGCTTCCAGGTGTCTCTGCTGCAGCGCATTACGGAGTGACACTAACGCTGTCTGTCGGGACGTATATATACCTGCAGCGCTAGCACCGGCGCTATCCCGGCGGCGGCCTTCCTCTCAACCTCGCGGCCGCGGCGCACGGTGCGCGACACCACCTCCGCGAGCGTGACGCGGTGGCCGTACAGCAGCGCTTCCAGGTGTCTCTGCTGCAGCGCATTACGGAGTGACACTAACGCTGTCTGTCGGGACGTATATATACCTGCAGCGCTAGCACCGGCGCTATCCCGGCGGCGGCCTTCCTCTCAACCTCGCGGCCGCGGCGCACGGTGCGCGACACCACCTCCGCGAGCGTGACGCGGTGGCCGTACAGCAGCGCTTCCAGGTGTCTCTGCTGCAGCGCATTACGGAGTGACACTAACGCTGTCTGTCGGGACGTATATATACCTGCAGCGCTAGCACCGGCGCTATCCCGGCGGCGGCCTTCCTCTCAACCTCGCGGCCGCGGCGCACGGTGCGCGACACCACCTCCGCGAGCGTGACGCGGTGGCCGTACAGCAGCGCTCCCACGTGTCTCCGCTGTAGCGCATTACGGAGTGACACTAACGCCGCCGCTCGGGCCAAGGCCGCGCGCGCGCCCAGACCGTCGATGATCTCCATCACCTTCTCCTCGAACTTCTCCGCTTCGCTTTCGACCACTGTTACATAATAAATAAAATCTATCTTTATATATATAATTCTTCTGTGAGTGTGTATGTCACTGAACTTCTCTTAAACGACTGGACCGATTTTGATGAAATTTTTTGTGTGTGTTCAAGGGGATCTGAGAATGGTTTCACAATTTTGTCCGCTGGACAACCCCTATTTTTTTAGGGCGGTACGAAGTTCGCTGGGTATATATATAAAAATGAATCGTCGAAAAGTATGTATGCGCATCACTTCCGAACGATAGAACCAAGTTGGACATTTTTTTTATTGTGTTCGTTATTGTCAGAACAAGGTTTGTATACAATAAAATTTACAAAAAAGCAACAAATAAATTAATGTAAAAAATATTTTTAAAATAAAGTTTGTTATTCTGCCATTGACAACTCACGTCACGACACGCAAGTTTTATGAGTTTATTTGTTTGGCATTCACTCCAAATCAGTGATATACTAGATTGAAATGGAACCAAAATTGCAAGGAGCACACACAAAACTAAAGTGACAATTTTTTTTTCTCTCTTTATTTGTGTAGTCATACATTTTAATATAATTCTGTGGTTACAGTGACATTTTAAGAGACAAACTACAGTGCCAGCAATTTAATTGTTTATTATTATGCTAATGTTTTGGCATTGAGACAAGAGGAATATGATAAGGATCAATATCATAGTTTATATTTCAACATGACATAAATCTTAATTACTGCGTTCCAAAAAATAAAACTACTCTTAATTTTCCACTAAGTCTTAAGGGTCGACTAAGGGATTGACTGTCTTTGGAGAATATTTGGCAAAGACCTGCAAAACCAATAATCCCTTTAAAATATGCTAAAGTAACCTTCGACGATTTAGTGATCACACGGCTCCGTGCACTCCCTCGGGGAATACGGATGTAAATTTTTCTTCTAACGTACAATTTTTTACTGCCTTTATTTGAATATAATATATAACAATATTGTTACTTTTAACACTGTAAAAATTTCTTTGCCCGTTTTTCTCTACAGCTAAAAAAAGTTCATAACACGTAGGCAGTAGGTAGGGTAAATTGATGACTAAAAAGAGTTGTGTTAAGCTTCCAATTTGAATAAAGAAATGTAAACCTAATGAGCTAAGACACCATGAATTGGAAAACTATTTTTTTTGATATTACTGTTAATATAAAACAAACTCTGTGACTTGATGGTAATTTTATAAGTATTATTTAAGTTCTGTTTAATAATAAGACAACTCCTACTTAAGTTTTTCCTTCATCAAAAACCAGTTAAAAAGCGATCACATCAAAGTGTTACTTGGATCATGTCATGCATGTTTATTTGAGTATGCAACAAGTTGTTTGAAAGGCCTTGGTATTACGCGCCGCGTGGCAATTATTCTTATCTTAGCATTCCGTCCGCGTTATAAAAGTTATCTAATATTGCTCAACGGCTCGTCACGTGTGACGTAAACAAGCAAAAAACGTCACATATTGATGCTTGTGGCGAAAGATTGGAAAACTTTTACAAAAATACATTTAACACAAAATTACAGTGAAATTAACTGATATTTGAACAAATCATTTTTTTGTGATTTATCTAACATTTGAGGAACTATGTTCTACCATGGTTGTACCTATCAATGAAGAACATAATACCTGTTACTATTAGGACATAATGACAAATTAGCAATATAAATTTTGACACTAACCCAGATAAAACTACTGTACTATATTTAGTATGGTTAAATTTAAAAAATATAACTAAATACCCACAAAAATTTGGCATAGGAAATATTAAGAGTTTATTTCGTTTTTTTTCTAAATATTTAACTGTAAAATGTATAAATCATTGTCAGACACACATGCGAAGATGCATTATTTTAAAATATGGTTATTATTTAGATGTTATATAACAGTATTATTATAATGTTCTACAAGTTGACATTCAAAATTCAAAAATATTATTTCTTTACCATACATCTGGTTATATGTACATTAAATGACGAAGAACTGATGCTTGGCAAAAAAAAAAAAATTCAAACTAAAGGGATTTGCCTGAAGTTCACAATGATTTTCAAAGAGTTGTCAGGTTTGAAAAATTTCATAAACGAGCATAATTTTTCTGGTGGTCAGTATCTCAGAGTAATATTATGTACGTTGTGAAGAAATAATCATTATCATTCAATCAAACAATGCCTACTGCTGAGCACAGGTCACCCCTCAAGATCTCCATGTTGATCAGTCTTGAGCTGTTTGCATCCAGCGTTCTCCCGCGATCTTCAATAGATCTTAGGTCCACCTGATGAGCACCTGCCCACTGAGCGTCATCCGGTGTGTAATTGTCGCTCGAGAACCTTTCCCCCCTAATGGCTATTGGATCTTCTCGCTTTGTATCCCGCTCAATACCTCTTCAGCTGAGGAATCTTCCAGCAATGTCGGTGACTTCAATCCTGTGGCTTTCCTAACTTTTGATTCTATCACATAGGAAAAGGTGATTTCTTATGGATTCAAATTCTGGCTCTATATCTGTTCTATATATTCTAGATATGTTCCGTAGATTGAGCCATTACAGGGCGCCACATCTTAACAAAACAACTGTGTGATCTGAAGTAAAAGGGCTATTAGATCTTGATGCAAATGTTGTAGTCTTTTTGTGATATTAGCGGAAGAATGGCAACATCTTTGATGAAATACATGACTGACAGAGAAGATCAACTTGGAACACCCAACAAGAGCAAACGGGAAGTTGAAAAGTTCAAATTATATTAGTTGTTCCACATTCAAATGAAACCCAACACCATTGGGGTCAAAAAGGGCCGACTACAAAATTTGTGATGAGAAAGTATGTGTTACGTATTTCAAAATTCATCACATATTATCAAATAAAACTATTATTTTGTATAATAATAGTGAATTTAATGCATATAGAGTTGATATATATGCAATAAATACAATGTTAAATTTGGGCCGGATATTTTACTGAAAATCGCATTATCAATATTTTTTTCATATTTTTTTTGATACATATCCAACAAAAAATTAAGGTTAATACAAAGATTTTCAGAAAAAAAGATTTAAGGCTTACCTGGGTTAAGAGACTCATGACTGTGGTCTTATGAATGACCTTGTTTAGCATTTATGTAAACTCTGTATTCCATACAAAATAATTGTATATATTTATAATATTAATGTAGTTACCTACCTACAATACAAAAAATACTATCATGTTCCATTTTAATTACAGTCTTCATATTTCTCATTAATTAAAATGCTCAAGTTTCTTCAAACTATATTCAACACATATACTCTATACTTTCATTTACATTTAAATAAATTTAAGTTGCAATTTTTGCATATTAAGAAATGTGTCAATAACAATAACAACACTGCTTATATATATTTTTAAACTTATAGTCACAAACTGACAGTATTGTAGACCTTGGCATACTTAATCTGTACATTCATTGTATCTCCAGAAAGAAGAGAGCTACCTATCATTTAAACACAGTACATATTAAAATTGTATTGGTTAAATAGTTTCAATATAATATTTTCTATATTCACTAAGAGTTGTGTTAAATGACACATGTTGTCCTTCATATCACAAGTAAAGGTTGTTGACTTTCACTATGTGTGGCTAATAGGCAATCTTTGAGACAACTAATAAAAAAGTGCCCATGTTAAACATAACATACTATTACTAAAAAGTCATTACTATTAGGAATATCCACACATCACTTTTACACGCCATATTAATGTCAAGCGTAGGATTATAGAATATGTTCTTGGTGAGTATTGAGAGTACCCACACTACAGCCCATAGATTTAAATTCACTATGATTATTATTCTTGTTCTGACATAACAGTGCGATGAATGATATGAGTGAGAGATTTAGTAAGATAATAAAAGTCACTATCAAGTTGAATGGATTGATACAACCAATATCTGCACTACTGTACCAAGGACCTCCTTGAATGTGCAAAGTATAACTCTTTACCTAAAGTTGAATTAGATTAATGAGCATAATGTTTGTCTCACCTTCATCATGATTACTCCTGGAATCAGACTGCATAGAGATCTCGGAGCAGTTGTCGTTTGTCATGTCAATGCCGGCATCCTCATCAGATGAGGCAGGCTGCTCTGTTCTGTAATTTTCTGTAAATAACAAATGAATGATTTATATGATGAACCTGTAATATTTTAGAAGGGACCTTTCATAAGGTATAGTCAAGTGTCAACTCTGTCCTTGATACACTTGCATTACACACAATAATCACAAAGAATCTGAATTATTGTTGTAGCTTAGTTCAATGCTACAATTTATATGATGTGCCTTTATTTATATTATGTTTTTTTAACAATACCTAGATAAATCATGATTATCGTTAATTAACTTTAGGCACACTTTTAATATGGGTAGGTAATGAAGTTATGTCAGGCAATGTTATGCCAATTAAAAGTATGCATAATTAAAGCTGACCTATTTTAGAACTGTAAGTAAATTTAATTTTCAAGTTCTTTCAAACATTAGGTAAGGTTACATCAATTAAAATTTTTGGTATGTCTTGGTCTACAACAATGACCCTGAATAAAGAAATAGATAATAATAAAAAAACTAATAAAATTTTATTTTTATTTTTGGAAATTTCCTTACTGGTTTGAATAATATCAACCTAATTTAGATAAGAATATCATGCACTGACATTGTTTACCAACAACTGAACAAACAACATTGCTCATAACCTTATGAGCAATGTTGTTGCAGCCAATTGTTGCACCACCACCATTTTTCTTTGTGTAACATGTTGTTATTTATTGTGTCAATGTTTAATTGTGATGCAGAGAGAGAGAAAGTACAATAAAAATGACTACTGGAGCTATTGCAAAACACAATTCCTGACTAACATACTAATAGATAATAGTAAAACAACAAAAAATACAACAAGGTTGAATTGATTTTTAAGTATCTAGTATAATTTAACATAGGTAGGTTTGTATTATGAAATTTCGAAAGTGGTAGTGTTATTGTATTATGAACAAATATTGCAGTTTGAGAATTCAAAACATAAGGAACAGGCAAATACGGAAGTGACAATGTGCAACATATGGAAATCGGTTTTGGGCTAATAACTAATTGTACGACGTGGGAACATCGTTCTGTGAGCATAAATATATACGTGGACATGTCATTACGGCGCGGAAAGTCAGCAACCACAAGGTCGCCGCGTGATCTCATTCTTGGCAAATACCAGGTGTGCACGCGTTACAAATCATACTGAAACAGTTACAACAGACAATTCACTTCACTTACCGTATTTCGAGTATTTTTTCCTTCCTTTAGGCATGGTGATTTTTGTTATTAACTGATTTAACAAACAAGTAAGGTTAAATCTCAGACACGTATTATATTATTCACTAATTAATTTACTAGGTTTGTCACTTAATCAAGACGGAGAAAAGTTTAATATATCAGTTCTTATAGAATGATTTGGGCACCAAATGTAACATAAAACTAAAATTTCAGAAAAACTTTTTAACATGTTTAACCGTGTAACATGCACACTCAACTCCACTTCTATGCGCAATGCGCTGTCATCTTATGTCAGTTGGAAGGGTGAAGGGGCGGGAGGGGAAGCAATGCGTCATGACGCCATATTGGACTTTTGGAGTTGCGAGAACTGAAAATAATATTTTTTATTTTAAATTGGAGAAGGTGGTGGTGTGGTTATTATTTTAGTATAAAAACTTATTAGGAGGTATTAAACTTGTGAAATATTGGTCAACAATGTCACAACAATTCACAACGAGCGTTTGATAAAAAATGAGTCAGTCAATCCTTCGCTTTAGTCAGTCAATACCTCAGATCAATGCGGCCTTTTATGTTTATGGGTAAACATAAATGGCACAATTATTTTAAAATAAGACGGCATCTCGGTTTTCTTCTATATTTCACGACTTCTCACATGCTGGACTGGGAGTAAGGATAGTTCCGGAAACTATAATTATACGTGATTTTGGTGACTACACACAAATTAATGTGGGCGGGAAACTAGGGCCTAATTGTGTAGCTTTTCCGCGATCCCTTTTATTTCTTTTTTGGGAAAGAGAATGTTCGGATTGCCTTCGTGGATATAGCTCTAAAGAAAAGATTATAGAATAGATATAGGATAGTGGATATGTGATGTGTATAGGGTCAAGATGGGGTCGGCGGGGTCAGAGTGGGATCGAAGAAACCCCTCGACCTAGCCTCGCACACACCGCGGAACTTGAACTAACTCATGCATGTGACCCATGTCAAGTTATCATAACGTGACATAACAGGACATGACATGACGTTACCCTTTTTAGTGCTTGCAGGCGGTGTTGATCGATTAATAAGACGTAGACGCGATCACGTCAAAAAGTTTTAATTACCACTTGATACATAGATATGTGACAAAAAACTTGTTGCACCACAGATATCGGTAGCACTCCTGAATGGAAGCACTTAATTCTAAGTAAGTATAGGTATATGATTATTCTCCCTATTGAAAAGGGAGAACAAGCTATGCTCAGAGTCATGCATGATCATCACGCGGACCCAGGAATGTTTGGTGAAATCTAATGACTGCAGGTGCAGCCAGGACCAACACGGTTTAACGTGTCTTCTAAAGCACGGAGGATTTCGAGATAATCATTGTTTGGTTATCCATCCAATTACCGGCCTTTGCAATAGTTGCATAACTTTCACGATCGCCGACCAAGCGTGCTACATAAACAATGCGGTATTGAATATTTCTTGGTAAGGTATAGATAAAGGTACTAAAATTCAATTACCGGAATGAACCTGTAATCCGTTCAAAATAATACACTTAGTTAAAAAAAAACGTTTAAAATATTAAGACATCAAAAATCAAAGTAAGGTTGTGTAATCATGACGAATTTAATAATTATAAGGTGGTGCAATCAGTGCTAAGAATAATGTGACGCCATACGTGCTTATCGCGCTAGCAAGTCTAAGTGATGTGACGCAGACAATGTTGTACAATAGAGAAAAAAGCGTAGTAAAAATAAGGCTGATAAAAGAGGAGATAGGAGAGGTAGGGCATAGCGGATTTCCCGCTCGAATTAGAGCGCCCGTCTAGGGAAGTAATCTTCACCACCTGCAGACCACTGGAAAATAATAGGTACTACTACCTTTTGGCGGTGCTATGTTTCGGTCGGTGAGTTATGTTCCAGGGCTCCACGGGGTAGGGGATTGGGTCAGGGTAGGCAAGGTGCGAGTGATATTTTTTGTATCGCAAGCGTCTATAGACAGTGCTGGCCGCTTAACATCAGGTGGGGCATGTGCTTGTTTGGTCTTTCCTTTTACATAAAAAAAATCTTTTTCATTTCTCATTCTCGGAAAGTGGTGTTGTTTTGATCTGTTTGTTGGGTGGAAAATGCTGCTTCCCTCCCTAGAGATGGAAAAACTCATATAAATTACTTCCCGCCTAAGGGCCGGAATGAACTTTAAAAATAGAACTACTGTCAGGTGTGAAGAGATTTATGTAAAAAAAAAAATATGATGCCATGTGAGTTTCTAAACAGCCAGTGTGAACTTAGCACAAACTTCTTTGAGCGGAATAAGCCGCAACAATTACTCTGTTCCATATTTAAATTTTAAAAGTCGACATAAATTGGCGGGTTACTAAACTGTTATGTACCTGTGACGGAATAAAAAAAATCTTATAAGTAAAACAGAGCAATCTAAATTAGAATATTAAAAATGAGTTTAAGCGATTCAGAAATATTGACACCGGATTCAATTAAAGAAGAGGCAAATTGTGTTATAGAGAATCTTTTGCCAGAAATGTCAAAAGAGGATATATGAATACATACAATGATTTTATGAAGTGGCGAGCAGAGAAGAATATAAAATCGTTTCCCGAAAGTGTATTTCTTACATATTTTAATGGACTGTCTTCTTCACTTCTTCTTCAAACTTCCAGGGAGTATCCGCCATGGAATCCATCGTTTGATGAAATAACAGAGTCTCCTACTTTTACAGATATCCAAAACAGTCAAATTTGTAATAGTATATCAAAAAGCATAAACATTCCAAATAAGAATGTAATTTTAATTTCACTAATTGTCCTAATATGATAATTAATTTTAAATAGCTACTTCTAATTTTATTGTACCTATATATATACCTATTTATGAATAAATATTTTTGATAAACAACTAGTTTTATTTTCCTCATATTCGAAATGAAAAGTACAGTGTTTAACTCGGGTAAAAGAATCAATTCCTACTCGGACTAAATACCTCGGGAATTGATTCTTTCCACCCTCGTTTAACAATCTACTATTTCATCCCTTGTATTTGAAAAGTGTCGCTTTGTTCCTCTTTAAGTGGGAACAAAATAGCTCTTTTCCGATAAGAACTTTTTGGTGGGCGTAAAAGAGATTTGAATTTAGAACATATATCATTCATAGAAATCGAACGCAAATTGTATGAATTCTTGGCTGGTACGTGTTGGCTGCACGGCACGGACCCGCGCTAACTAAAAAAAAGCGCGCGAATTATTTTTCTGTTCTTGTTACAAGAACATATTTAATGTTAAAAAATAATGAGTGAGAATGAGACCTCAAGCTATGAAAGTGATATTGCATTAACTCCTGAAACAATAACTATAAAATCTAACAGCGTCATACAAAACTTATTACCCACGAAATCCCGGGAGAAATATTTCAGGGCCTCTGACGTTTTTAGAAAATGTGTTTTTGGCCTATTTTCAAGAATTGGCCAAAACTAAGCAACCTTCTACCCTTTGGAGTATATACTTAATGCTTAAATCTACAGTAAATACCAATAAAAATATTAAAATTGATAGCTACTCAAAATGACTAGCTTATCTGAAGAGACTATCCGAAGGACACAAACCAAAGAAATCAAAAGTATTTTCTCACCAAAACGTGGAGACTTTCTTGAATGACGCGTCTGATAAGGAATTTCTCGCATCAAAAGTATATATCTTTTATTTTTCCATTGTAATCTATAAACAGAGTGTTTTAAAGCGTGTACGTATTATTCTAACTTCTTGTTTGATTTCCATTCTGTTTTGTTATTCGGCATACATGGAGCTTGTCGTAGTAAAGAGCTTATAAAAATAACAATCGAAGATATCAAAAAATACTCAGATGAATTACTTTTAGTGAATTTATCTGACACAAAAACAAAAATTGATCGGTCTTTCGTCATTTGTGGCCAGTACTAACGAATAGTAGAAAAATATCAGAGCCTGCGTCCTTCTGATTTAACATCTAATACATTTTTTATTAGATATCAAAATGGAAAGTACTTCAAACAGGTTATGGGAAAAAATAGAATATCTTCAATGCCTCTAGAAATCGCTATGTATTTGAAATTACCCGTTTGCAAGCTATACACAGGACACTGTTTTCGCCGAACTTCCGCTACACTTTTGGCAGATTCTGGAGCGTACCTTACTGTTTTAAAGTGGCACGGAGAGTGGAAATCCAGCTCAGTAGCAGAGCACATAAAAATACTATTTTACTCCTTTGTCATACAATCTACTATTTTTACATAGTCATAAACCCCATTCCCTACTAAAAGAGCTTGTGCATCAGTAAATAAAATAAGGACCTTTATTTGTTTATATTTAAAAAAAAATATGTTGCTTTAAAATTTACAAATCTTTTTTTAATTTTTTTAAATGTTTTTAATATTTTATATATTTTATGTACATCATAAATAACATATCGACATAATTTACACCACTTCAATACCTGTATTTTAAAAACGAAGCATTTTTATCAAAACCTATCTTACTGAGCAAAGCTACATAGTTTAGGTTCTCTATAAAATAAAATCACTGCTATATTATCTAAATGAGGAACGCAAAGATAAATTAACTTAAATCCGAATTTATATTATGAAATAAGAGGCATCAACGTAGTGCCTTAACATAAATTTCATCAATAATATTTTTTCACGTGTAAGCACTGAGACTTGTAAACTTCACACACACATGAAATTGTTGATGAAATTAATGTGAACGAAACTACTTTCATGCCACTAATTTCAAACACTAAAAATTATTTATTTTAAAACAAAAGTCATAGAGAGTAGTATTAACAGAGAGTTGCAATAGTATCTTATGGCGCTGGTTTTGTTTCCAGAGGCACAGGACTCCACGTTCTGGCTCACTAGTCTGCTGTGTTTATTCCATTTCGCTGGGGTTTCATTGGATCCTATCAACTTGCCGTCTATGTATTCAGCACACTGCACAACTATCGTAGGTTGAGCGAGACCTTTGAAGAGTATCTCCTTGCTGATCATCTTGAAAGTGTGGCTGCCCCGGAACTCCGTAACTTCTTTCCCGTTGACGTACCATCGGATTTCAGCATCAGGTTCCGCGCGACAGTACGCCTTCATTTCCTCGTCTTCTCCGAATTCTGCTGCCAGCCCTTCCACGACGGGCTTCCTCCTTTGTGGTCGGTAGACTTTCATGTAAGCAGTCCTTGTTTCGAATTTGTACGGCGGCTTATCCAGCTCCAAATCACATCTGTAGAGGCCGGAAGCGTCTTCAGT